ATTGACAGAGAATTTTCTCTTAGAATTTATCCTGAAAATTGTGATGATAATCGCGGGACGAAAAATATTAATATCTATCACAATAAGATATAAAATATGTTCGATTAATATTTTTTGTGGTAAATATTAATCAGGAAAACTCATAAAATTCTTCCAATACCATATTGTCCCACGATTATCATGATTTTCAGGATAAATTTCAAGAGAAAATTCTCTCTATACATAATTAATAATGAAATTAATTAAAAATCCACAAATTATTAGAAGCTGACTAATTAAGAGCCTAGCTTCGAATTAACATTTATAAACTTTAACAAGTATTAAATTTTCAAAATAAATTATTCTCAGTAAAAAAAGAAGAATTTGCACACATTTTTATAGCGCTCGATTGGCGGCTCCTAATTGTTTCCGATATTTTATCTCGGAACCTTCCATTTCAATTTAATTAATTAAAATTTATGGATTTTTAACGTCGAGAAAAATTATGTTATACATAGAAAAAAAGTAACTAATATTTTTTAGCTATAATTAGTCGGAGAATAATGTAGCTAAAAAATATTAGCTAATTTTTTTCGTGCACAAAAGTCAAACATTGTATCGTTGTACAAATTTTTGTATAAAATTATTTTTAATGTTTTGCTTTTATTTAATTATATTCTTCGTTAAAACGTGATCTTGCAAACGTGTTTTTTTTTTTTTTTTTTTAAAGCTTCACGTTCAGTTCGCGGACGAAAAAGCCAATCGTGCTCGATTAAACGTCGCTTAAAAAAGTCGTCGCGTTAACATCGGGTACCCGGTAGCAGCAAATCGATTCGGACGAGAGATGCGGTTTGCGGATACGTACTTGTTATCCGGAGTCATGAATCAAGAGACGCGATATACGGAGAGAATCGAGTCGCGTCGAGAGTACATGAATCAACCTTGCTTGGGTTTATTGTGCGAACGAGCGCTTCTTCCTAGTTTGGAAATCTTATACGTCAAACCTCTTCGATTGAGACATCTTAAAGGTTGCGATCAAAAAATTTAACGGCATCTTCTCCGATCTATGATTTCTACTCCGTTTTTTTCTTCTCGCGTTCGATTCTTCCGATTTTTTTTTTGTCGCAATTGTGGATATTTTTTTTTTCGTACAGTTATGCCTTTAGAAAGAATTCTCACCTGAAATCGATTCCAGAGTCGGATTCTTCGAAGTGTTAAATTGAATTTTGCAATATCTAGAAAAGAGCAGGAGTATAATAATATATTTCGACATTCTTCTCACGGTTTATACTATACACCAGGGTTGGATAGTAACTAGTTAATGAGTTAAAAGTTAAAAAAAAAGTTCAAAGCTAGTAACTTTTAACTTTGCTTAGTTAATTTAAAATGTATTAATTTTTAACTTCAACTAGTTATTTTTTACCTTGAACTTATTAACTTTTTTCCCAAGTTAAATGTTTTATCTCTGAATACCATTATTGTTCTCTTTTATAAATTATAAACGTATTAATTTTAAATTAAAGTATTATTAATTTTTATGTTTATTTGGCATCAATTGTAATTACCAGAAAAATATATTTCTATATAAAAATCAAAACTTCTTTATTATTTGTTATTGTATATTTTAAAAGAATTAACTTTTGATTTAACTTTAGTTAATTTGATCTTAACTAAATTAATTTGACAAGCAACTAACTTAACTTATTGTTAGTTCAAAAAAATCATTAACTTATCCAACTCTGCTATACACTTTTCAATTGTAGAAACCAGTTTTATCAGTTCGGAATTGAAGAACGCGAGTGCGTCGACGTTCCAGATGACAATCCACATTTTTTCCACTCGCTGGAAATATTAGAAAGCTAATTTCACCGAAGCCAGGAGAAAGAATTATGAGAAGTGTATCATCGCAGGAATTCATTTTCTCAAACAAGGCGCAAAAATTGCTGAGAAAGTCACTTAAAGAAAATGACCTCGCTATTTTCATCCAAGAGAGAGAAGAGGATCTAAAATAGAATAGAATGAGATATAAACATATACATACATATATTTATCCTGCACATAAACATAATATAATATAACAAATGTATTCAAAAAAGGCCAACTTATCGAGCAATATTTAAGATGTTGCATCCAATTAAAATTTATTTCATAAACAATATATTAAAATTACAAAAAAACCTTCCATAAACGTTTCAACCGCACGCGGTCTTCTTCAGTATAACAGTATTACGTAATTTATAATTCTTACAAATCAGTTCAAAATGAGGTGTCTTGTTAGACTGTTGGTTTTATCTATTTATAATAATTTCAATTTAAAAAAAAAAATTGTGTTAAACTGTAAGAAGAGGCGACACAAACGCTTAATGGATATTAAGAATTTCTCGCTTAAAAACGAAGAAATAATTTATGAGATCCAACATCATAAGATCACATTACGGCGAATAATTTTATAAATTAAATATGACAAATTGTAACACGCATAAATTTCTAACAAATTCTCGACTTGTTCTCGACTCAAGAAATTTTAATTGATATTATAATATAATATAAACAAGCAGATGGGGATCGCGATGAACTGCTAGATAGAGTCTTCCGTTTCTCCAGAACGGATGTCGCATTCCTGCATATTACGCACTCGCCTTTGTTCCGCAAAGTTGGGTGTCAAGGACGACCATTATACCTCGCTGGTACATTGCATTAAACAGAGTTGACAACTAATGTAACGAGGAACGGTAATGAGGCTTATAACGACACGCGATATCTAATTAGGCATCTGCACTTGATGAAGTTCGAATCGAATTAATCTGCCTTCTCTATTCCCTCTTGGAATCAGTAAGAAATTAAGCATTTACTTTTACCTCTTAAATAAAAACTGGAATTTTTACCTGCATAATATTTAAATATTATAATATAAAAAATATAAATATATATTTTATATATAAATTATATTTTTACTTCATAGTATATTTATGTATTTTATATATAAATTATTATATATATATATATATATATATATATATATATATATAAATATATAAAGTATAAATATAAAAATATATATAATATATATATATAAATATATTTAAAAAATATAATATAAAAAACGAAAACAATAAAAGAAATTAAACTGAAAAGAAGAAAAAATATTAATCGTGCGTCCTTGGAAAAAAACCTTGCGAAATGCCCTCGTGTACGTTCTTCCAGTTCTTGGGAGAAATTTTTGCCAATTTCTTCTCGGGATCCCGTTGCTGCGATCGCTTTCTCGCGGTAACCGAGCGTGAAAAGGAGGCAGGGAGGAAGATAATTTAAGCGCGTGAGTGAACACGCGTGTAATATGTTAGGGGGAGGTCAGCGAATTTTTCACGACGACGACGGGGTTTTTCAGCGACGAGGGCACGACCGGAAGTAGTTCGTTTCCCACGTTTTGCTCGAGAAGGAAAGGTCGACTGTTCCCAGGGAGAGACTTGGTGAATCTCTCGTCGAGGCTCTTCTGTGTACGACGACGATTACGGTCGAGAGAGCGATTAACCCGCGAAGAGAAAGAAAAGAAGACTCTCTTGGAGCTTCAATGTCCTTATATACTCTGGTTTCTTGAAGAGTTGAACGCGCGAGAAGAGAGGACCGAGATCATCCACGTGGGATTATACGTGTTTCCAGTCGCCTCTTCTCATTTCTTTGCTCGATTACCGTCATCTCCTTCGTTTTTCTTCTTATCTCTCCTCCGAGATTTTTCAATGTCTTAAGGAGTTCGAAGAAGCTGTCATCTCGAAGATGCTTATTTTTAAGAAGTGAGAAGATCACATTCCAATAAAACGAGAAATTTATTTTCCTGTTTCTCGAGCGAAGTTCTTCCTCGATTTTAATGATGACTATATTAGTGCCATAATTTAATATCAAACTTAGCAGTGTCGAATTTTTAGCTTTTAATAAATTAATAAATTTTAATAAATTTTTAATTTAATAAATTTTAATTTTTGGCTTTTAATAAATTAATGAGTTATTCTGGTGAATGTCGCTTTTTATTAATAGAAAGCAGATTAAATAAAATAATATATACACATAAGTCCATTTTTAATTTCAGTAATGACATTATTTTAATATATTCTCATTATTGAAGAGCATCTAGTTTATATTTATTATTAAAATAATTATTGTCATAAAGCAAGATCACTAAAAAATATTTTTAATCTCTAATCTCGATGACAAATGATTTCCTAGCGATTTCAAATTCGTTGATCTCTTCTTGGCAAAGATATAATATAATATTATATACATATATGTATATTATACATATTTTATATATATTTTATATATTTTATAATTTTATATACACACACATATTTTCTCTTTGAATTTACCCTGAAAATCATGGTGTGGGAAAGAATTTTACAAGAGGTAAAGTATAATTTTACTATGTATATAATATTGTAAAATTAAATCGAATATATTATATACCTTATTGTGATAAATATTTTTTAATATTTTTATTGTGATAAATATTTAATTAAAGAAACTCATAAAATTCTTCCAATATCATATTGTCCCACGATTACCACGATTTTCAGGATAAATTCTAAGAGTAAATTCTCTCTGTGTCTAATATAAAATATATAATATATAATACAAACAATTTTTAATACAAAAGAAATATATATAATATAAAATATAAAAAATCATATACAAACATATAATATAAAAAATTTGTCATCCCAATATATAATATTGTAAAATTAAATCGAATATATTATATACCTTATTGTGATAGATATTTTTTAATATTCTTATTGTGATAAATATTTAATTAAAGAAACTCATAAAATTCTTCCAATATCATATTGTCCCACGATTACCATGATTTTCAGAATAAATTCTAAGAGTAAATTCTCTCTGTGTCTAATATAAAATATATAATATATAATACAAACAATTTTTAATATAAAAGAAATATATATAAAATATAAAAAATCATATACAAACATAATATAAAAAAATATGTCATCCCAATCTCTATCTTTCCTCAGATGGATCCTGACGCAACCGAAGGGACGTCAGGGAGAGGACAGAGCAGACTGCAGGATTAAGTGCGAGCGGTCAGGATGGCTTGGGGATGGACGTTGCTGATCCTGACGAGCGTCTGGACGCTGGGCGCCAGCTACCTGGCGGTGCTGCCGTCCAGCATCCCAGTCGGCGCCGTCGTCTTCGAGGCCGGGGTGCCCCAGCTGGGCGGTCGGCGCAGATACGAGGCCTCGAGCGAGCGCACCGCCTGGTTCGCCCGGAAGCTCCTCAAGGTGCATCCGCACACGGGTCGCGTGAGCCTGGCGAGGCCGCTGAGCTGCGACGGACTCCAGTATCCGCGCGTCTTCACCTTCTACGTCGACTCGACGAGCTCCCGTCTAGGTAGACCCACCATCGACTACTACAGCCTGCCGCTGAGGATCCTCATCACCGGATGCGGCGGCGAGAATCGCGACCTGGCGGCCACCAGGGGCTGGATGGCGGAGACCCTGGCCTCTTACGCGATGCCCAGCACTGACAGGTCTAGTTGGATCAGATTACAGTCTTAGATAAAGGAAGTTTAAACGTCAATTGAGGCGGTGACTTGTAATTTTCGAGCTCGATTGGTTCGCTCTTCAAGGTGTGTAGGCTGTATATTTTTATATATACAGGGTGTCACGTGGAAAATATACAAGTAGATCTTGTTATCTCGAGACAATTTTTCCTCGGTAAAAATATTGAGGCATCAATCATTTTCGAGTTATGAGGGATTTAAAATAAAATGTGTTTTGCAAACTCTAAACCTTGTGGAAATAAAATATTAACAAAACCATTCTCCGATTAATTTCAAGTAGAGTTTGCTTTAATAAAATTTTAATTGAAGTTATGTAAAGATATAGATGATGGCAAAAGTTGGGAACATGCAAAAAATGATGGCCTCATTTGACATTTTTGCTGAGGAAAAATCGTCTCTAAATAACACTTTATGTCATGACACCCTGTATATAAAGAGACTTGATGGCAAAAGGAGACCATCCTGGAAGCAAGTAGAGTGATCAGTAATAATCGTAAACATATTAATTATAGCTTTATTAATTGGCTTCATTCAAGATATAGATATCCAAACATATAAAAACATATGGCAGCAAAAAAAAAACTATCTTGAAGAAAATGTAAAGTAGCTAGGATGACCGTAAACGGTTTATATTAACTACAGCGATTGAAGCTATGAAAATTTCTGATTGGAAAACTGTGATAATTTGTAGTCGAGAAAAGATGCTTAAGTTTCATAAACTGAAGATTTAATTACATCCCCAGGTTTACCGAAGTGTGCCTGCGAACGTCTCAACTAGTGGCAGCTCTTCGCGATTTTCTACCACAGACGGCCCTGAAGGAATGCGAAACCAGATGGGGCGGAGTGGCGGATCCCAGGTTTCTCGTTGAAGGCGCCGCTGGTGATTTGGTGTCCGCCACCGAGCAGTGCTTGGTGGATCCGTTATGGAAGGTCTCGGTCAGCATGAACCTGCGTTGCAACGGCGATTCGCGTCTGACCGACGCCGAGCATCGGCTGAAGATTGTGTTCCATCACCGTCAACTGGACGACACCGATCTGGGTAGGAGAGTGAGGCGAGAGCTGAAGAATCAGTCTCCGTATTTCGAGCAACCCCTCTATGTCGCCGCGGTGGAAGAGGAAAAGGAACTGGGGGTTTACGTGACCTCGGTAAGAGCCAGAGATCCCGAAAACGGCGCCGTGCGATATTCGATGAACTCGCTGATCGACGCGAGATCGCAGGCGCTGTTAGCTCTCGATCCAGTGACCGGAAGAGTAACGACTCGCGCCAGACTGGACCGGGAGAACGTCGACGTGCACTACTTTCGGGTATGTACACCACATCATAAATAGACATAGACACTTTATGCTTTGAGGATAATAGAATAATGTGTCAAAAGTTGTTTTTAATTATTAATTTTAATAGTTATGCATAGTACACACTTAACATTATATTAAGTTAATATATATAGATTATATTAAATTAAATACTTAATATTGTATATCAAACAATTTTTGACACGTTATGCTATTATGCTCAAAGCATAAAGTGCCTATCTCTAATCATGAAGTCGAAGAAAACAATATTAATAAGGAGTGTAAATTGTATAACAAAATTGACATATTTTTTTAGGTACTGGCAGTGGACGATTCGTTTCCACCAAGAACCGGCACGACGACTCTTCAGGTCAACGTACTGGACGCGAACGATCACACGCCCAGCTTTGAGTGGCCGGAATATGACGCCTCGGTGCGAGAGGGCGTCCCCGTGGGTTCCACCGTGGTTACAGTCAAGGCCACGGACCAGGACACCGGTAGAAACGCCGAGGTGGAGTATTCTATCGTTTCCACCACGGCAGACGGTGTCACCACGCACACGGAAGACGCGGCAACTTTCAGAATCGATTCTAGGTCAGTGTCAACAAGATACTCAGATGTAATCTTGTCATTTTCTTGAAACTCTTTAAAGTTTAAAGTTATATTTCGTATATATATATATATATATATAATAAATCTCTTATAGATATAGAGAATGAAATACATTATCTATCTCTTCATAATTTGTCATAAAGTCTGGAATTTAATTTCATACAAGTCTTGGCTCGACAAAAGCAAGTAATAATCTTGATGTATTTTCAGATCCGGCGTAGTCACCACGCGAACTCCGCTCGATCGTGAGATAACCGAGGTGTACACAGTGATACTCAGCGTTACGGATCAAGCGACGCCACCTTCGACGCGACGAAGCGCGAACGCGACCTTGATGGTGCGCGTGCTGGACGACAACGACAATTATCCACAGTTCACCGAACGCACGTACTCGGCGTCCGTGCCGGAGGACCTGGACTACACGACCAATCCGATAGTGGCTCATATTCGAGCGGCGGACGCGGACGCCGGCGCCAACGCGGCCGTCCGTTACGCCATCATCGGCGGCAACACGCAGAACACGTTCTCCATCGACTCGATGAGCGGCGACGTCGCCTTGGTCAAGCCGCTGGACTACGAGTCTATCAGGAGCTACAAAATCGTCATACGCGCCCAGGACGGCGGCTCGCCCGCCCGATCCAACACCACCCAGCTGTTGGTGATGGTCAGAGACGTGAACGACAACGCGCCGCGATTCTACACGAGCCATTTTCAAGAATCAGTGGCGGAAAACGTGCAGCTGGATTCCTCGGTGCTCAGGGTGCAGGCGTACGATGCCGACGAGGGTAAAAACGCGCTCATCAAGTATAACATCGGCGCGCGCGACTTCACCGGCGCCTCCACCGAGAACTTTCCCATCACCGTGAACGTGGAGACCGGATGGATCTACACGACGAAGCAGTTGGATCGCGAACAATGCTCCAGGTATTAATTATATCTCATTGATCACCACAATAGATTATAAACACTCGGTCAGAAGAGATATTATAACATAAAAAGCTAATATATAATTTGTATAAAAAATGTACAAGAAATTGTTAAAGCGAAAATAATGTATTATTTATATTAAATTTGGATAAACAGATTTTTTTTTATAAATTTATTAATACGACACTTTTTTTTAGATATCAATTCATCGTAATCGCGATGGACTCCGGCGACGAGCCAAAGTCTGCGAGCGCGACGGTGATTCTCACGGTGACCGACATTAACGACAACGATCCTTACTTCGAGCCGAAGAACTACGAGGCCGTGATATCCGAAGACGATCCGCCGGGCACCCCGGTCGCCTCGGTGACCGCCACCGATCCGGACGAGGACACCAAGATTCATTACAAGATCACAGGCGGTAACACGCGCGGACGCTTCTCCATCGCGTCGCAAAACGGCCGCGGTCTCATCACCGTCGCTCAGCCGCTCGATTACAAGCAGGAGAAGCGATTTGTGCTGACGGTGACTGCCTCGGACAGCGGCAGCCGCACCGACACCGCCCTGGTCTACGTGAACGTGTCGGACGCCAACAACTTCTCGCCGGTGTTCGAGAACGCGCCGTACTCGGTGTCGGTGTTCGAGGACGCGCCGGTCGGCGTGACCGTCTTGGTGGTCAGCGCTACCGACTCCGACGTTGGCAAGAACGCCCAGATCACGTACAGCCTGGCCACCGATAATGGCGAGCAGGCGATCAACGAGTTCACCATCAATCCGCAGACCGGAGCGATCACGACCACCAAAGCGCTCGATCGCGAACTGATACCCTCGTACTTGTTGACGGTGACCGCCAGAGACGGTGGGATACCACCATTGTCGGATACCACCGACGTGGAAATCTCTGTTACGGATGTGAACGATAACGCGCCCGTCTTCGAGGCTCCGCAGTATCAAGGATCGATCTCCGAAGATGTTTTAGTGGGCACCAGTGTGCTTAGGGTCGCGGCAACCGATGCGGATACCGATCTCAATGGCCGGGTGAGTATAATTTTAATTTATATTATAAATAATTTTTAATAACGATTTCATCAATAAAATATATTCTAATTTGTATAATGTTGCGCTTTCGAGTTGTTAATGAATCTGATAAATATTCCAGGTGAGATATGCTTTAGAGGACGACGGAGATGGCGCGTTCGCGATTGATTCCACGACAGGTATCGTCAGGACCGCGAAACCACTGGACCGTGAATCGGTAGCGCGTTATTTCTTGAAGGCCGCTGCCATAGATCGCGGTTCACCCGCGCTTTCGTCCGTCGTTCAAGTCATGATCAAGATCGAGGACATCAACGACTCGCCTCCCGCCTTCGAGAACGACAAGATCGTTCTGTACATCGCTGAGAACTCGCCGATCGGCTCCACCGTTGGCGAGATCTACGCTCACGATCCGGACGAGGGTCCGAACGCGGTGGTGCAGTACAGCATCATCGGGGGCGAGGACTCCAATAGCTTCGCCTTGAATATCCGCCAGGGGGCCGATCGGGCGGAGCTGATCACTCTCGAGGAACTGGATTACGAGTCGCCGAAGAAGAAATTCGAGCTTGTGGTGCGAGCCGCGTCGCCTCCGTTGCGCTCGGACGCGCTGGTGCAGATTCTCGTGACCGATGTCAACGATAACGCGCCGGTGCTCAAGGACTTTCAGATCATCTTCAACAATTTCAAAGACTTCTTCCCGACCGCGCCGATCGGCCGTATACCGGCAATAGACGCTGACGTCACTGACAACCTCGTCTACAGCATCCTCGCAGGCAACAACGCGAATCTGATCGACCTCAACAAGACCTCCGGCGAGATCCGGCTGTCGCCGCAGCTCAACACCAACGTGCCGCGAGTGGCGACCATGGAGGTCGCCGTGACGGACGGCATCAACGAGGCGAAGGCCACGATGACGCTGTCGGTGCGTTTGATCACCGATGAGATGCTGCTGAAGTCGATCACAGTGAGACTGGACGACATGACGGTGGAGGCGTTCCTCAGTCCTCTTCTGGGTTACTTCCTGGACGGTCTGGCAGCCATCATTCCTTGTCCGCGCGAAAACATCTTCCTCTTCAGCATCCAGGAGGACGCGAACGTCCACGCCAAGATCCTGAACGTCAGTTTCTCAGCTCGCAGAGTGGAACCCGGTATGGTAGACGAGTTTTACAGTCCGCAGTTCCTTCAGGAACGCGTCTACCTGAACCGCGGCATCCTGGCGAGACTGGCGACGGTCACCGTCCTGCCCTTCGACGACAATCTCTGCGTCCGGGAGCCCTGCCTGAACTTCGAGGAGTGCCTGACGGTGCTGAAGTTCGGCAACGCGTCCGGTTTCGCCAGCAGCGACACAGTCCTCTTCCGACCCATCTACCCGGTGACGACGTTCGCCTGCAGATGCGGCCGCGGCTTCACCGGCAGCCTCGAGGCCTACATGTGCGACACCGAGGTGAACCTCTGCTACTCCAACCCGTGCGCGAACGGCGGCACTTGTCACAGACGGGAAGGCGGATACTCGTGCATCTGCGGTCCCGACTTCACCGGGCTGAACTGCGAGATCTCGCTGGACCGCGACGCCTGCGCGAGCCCGGGGATCTGCAAAGGCGGCTCTCAGTGCACGGCTCTGAAGAACAGTTTCCTCTGCGAGGGCTGCCCCGTGTCCGTGCTGGAGAGCGTGACGCCCTTCTGCGAGTTAAGAGCGCGCAGCTTTGGTCCGGCGACCTTTCTCACCTTCGCCTCTCTTCGACAACGTCACCGTCTCCATCTCAAGCTGAAGTTCGCCACCGAGCTGACGGACGGTATGCTGCTCTACAACGGCCGGTACAACGAGCGCCACGACTTCGTCGCCCTGGAGATCGTGGACTCGCGGGTGCAGTTCAGCTTCTCTCTTGGGGATGAGGTGACCCGGGCGACGGCGGCCGTCCCCGGCGGAGTCTCGGACGGACGATGGCATGAGGTCGAGGTCTCCTACATCAATCGCACGGTGACGGTGTCCCTGGACGACTGCGACGTCGCGCTCGCCCTGGAGCACGGCGAGAGGCTGGGACCCAGGTGGAGCTGCGCCGCCAGGAGCGAGAGGCTCCTCGAGGAACGCTGCGGACTCGTCACCGAGACCTGTCACAGGTTCCTGGACCTGACGGGACCGCTGCAGCTCGGCGGCCTCCCGGCGATCCCGTCCAACTTTCAGATTCGGAACAAGGACTACGTAGGGTGCATCAGCGATCTCTACATCGATCACACTTTCGTCGACCTGAACTCCTTCGTCGCCGACAACGGGACTCACGCCGGCTGCCCGGAGAAGGTCGCCTTCTGCGCCTCGTCGCCCTGCAGGTGAAAAATGGGATTTTTTTAAGTGTAGTGATTTGCGAAATTGAAAAAAAATTGTTTTCAATATTAATGTGAAATTTAATATTAATGTTGAAGAAAATTGTTGAGTTACTAGAATATTACAAAGCGAGCGACATTTGTTTCTTTGTGATGTCTAAATGTGCTTTTGTCAGTTTCGACATGGATTCTTGATAAGTCATCTTTGATCATAAATTTTTAGCAAGAATTTTCAACCGAACAAATCAAGGCAATCTGAAATAAGAAAAATACTAAGAAAAAATTAGGCAAATTTTAATAGGATACTATATAGGTATAAAAAAGGTGTTTGTCTCTAAATTTAATTTATTGTTACTAAAGCAATGTCACATATTTATCGTACAACTCTAGAATACATTTATTATTCTTTTCGCGCTATTATGTTTACAGTTTTTACTGTTTATCTACTGTTTATACGTCTGCTCTGTCTTCTCGGTTGTCTTAGTTTTCGCAACGAGAATTTCGAGAGCGCAGGCTTGACCGCCTGCGTCTTTCGCTCTCTCGTTGTGGATGATTTTTATTCGAAGATACTTGAAATTTTAACATTATAATGTTTAATTTGTAACAAAGTAAAAGAAAATTAATCTAGAAATCAATTATTCTAACAACACCGGTAAGTGGAAATTGAATTACTTTTATTATTAGTTTGACATTTTATTTAGTTTATTTTTGGTTCGTTTACTTTTATTTCTGCTGCAGGTATGTGATTTTGCTGTGTCTTCGACTCTTAATCATTTGACAAATGTTTTATCTTTTTATCGAACACCTTGATTTTTCCGATAATTTTATTACGGTGAGTGATCGCGAATATAAAGAATCCACAGGTTTCTTTTTGATATATCATTTCTCTTTCCACAACAAATGGCTGCTTTAAATAATATTTTATATTATATTTTATATTGCATTTTATATCATATCTTATATATCATATTTTATATCAGTATATTATCAGTATATAAAATTCTAGTTTAAGATGACTTAAATCCATGTTGAAACGTTCAATAATCGATTGACTTGATGCTTCAACTTAACATTTGACTCGCAGGAACAACGGAAAATGCCGCGAAGTATGGGCAGGTTTTCTCTGCGAATGCGAGGACGCGTTCGCTGGCCCAACCTGCGCCGAGGAGGTCGGCGAGCCATGGATGTTTCATGGCCATGGTATGCTCAGCTTCAACCCGCTGCTACGACCGATCCAATTACCCTGGTTGACCGGCCTGAGTCTCCGAACTCGAGAGCGACAGGCCTTCGTTATGAGCGTGCAGATCGGTCAGAACAGCTCGGTGCTGTTGGAAATTCGAGATGGCAAGCTGGTAGTCTCGTTAGACGGCGCGGACGTAATTGGTACCACCGGCAATGTCGCCGATGGCGAGTGGCATCGTCTAGAAGTCCTCTGGCAGAGCGGCCACGTCTCGTTAGATACCGACTATCGGGATCGACCTACAACCCTGCCTTTACCCGCGAAGCTCCAGGGTCTCTACGTCGGCCGGATACTCGTAGGCGGCCCAGACCAGACTATCGACACTCAATTGAGACCTTTGTCCGGCTGCTTGCAGAACATACGGGTTGGATCGAACCAGAGTCTTCTCCACCGTCCGACAGTGAAGGAGAACATCAGCGTAGGCTGCCCATCGAAATCCAAATGCGAAATCAATTGCGATCCGGAAACCTCGGTCTGCCAATCCCGGTGGCAGTCCAGCGAATGCGTATGCGCCGCTGGTTACGTTGGGCCCAGGTGCGAGCCCGTGTGCGACCTGCGTCCGTGCAAGCAAACTGGCGTCTGCTTGAAGGACGCAACTACGTCGAAGCGTGGCTATCGTTGCGACTGTACGTCAACCGAGTACGCTGGCAATTATTGCGATATCAAGGCCGATCAGCCGTGTCCGGCGACTTGGTGGGGCAGCCCGGTCTGCGGCCCCTGCCACTGCGACGAGACTAAGGGCTACGATCCGGCCTGCAACAAGACCACCGGCGAGTGTTACTGCAAGGAGAACCATTATCAGCCGACCGGCCGCAAGGAGTGCATACCTTGCGAGTGCTACGTCACCGGCAGTTTTGGACCGCGTTGCGACAGCGAGACCGGTCAATGTCGCTGCCGAACCGGGGTCATTGGTCGAGCGTGCACCGATTGTCCGAATCCCTATGCCGAGGTGAGCGGAATAGATTTTATATTATACGCTCAGCAAACACCGATATATAATTGTTACATTGCTATAATAAAACGGAATATAACGTGTACGTTACATGTAACATCCATGTTAGTTGTAATTTCCCACTCATAGATGTAACATTTTAATATAACATATATTACATTGTAGTTATATTGTAATTATATACCAAATAGTACATTGATGTATTGATAAGTCAGTGCTATCTTGGGATATAATGACAATATAACTACAATGTAATATATGTAATATTAAAATGTTACATTTATGAGTGGGAAATTACAACTAACGTATACGTTACATGTAACATGCTTGAGTATATAACATTTATATATTGTGATTTTTATCTTGAAAGAGCAAGACTGTTTATAAGGTCGACGAATGAAATCCATTTCAATTGGATATTTATTCGATACGTTTTAGGTGACTCTGAGGGGCTGCGAAGTGGTTTATGACGGCTGTCCCAGATCGTACTCGGACGGTCTGTGGTGGCCGCGGACTCTCTTCGGGATGACAGCCATCGAAGACTGTCCCGGCACCGCCGAGGGCAAGGCCTCGAGATCCTGTGACGACAAATTGGGCGGCTGGCAATCGCCTGATCTCTTCAACTGCACCTCGGACGCTTTCGTCGAGCAACGGTATCAGCTCGCGGCCCTGGAGACCAAGGATCTCACGTTAAACACCTACGTGGCCGTGAAGATGGCGAAGGACGTTCATCGAGCGGTCAATGTCACCAGGGAGATGTACGGAGCGGATCTTCTGGTAGCGGAATCCTTGCTGGTGACGTTGCTACGTTACGAAGAGAGCCTTGTGGGGTTGAATTTGACTCACAGCCAGGATAAAGATTATGTCTCCCATCTGGTCGGCATAGCTGGAGCAATTCTCAGAGCCAAATATAAAGAGAAATGGGAGAAGATAGGAGAACTTAACGGAGATAGTCCCGATAAGGTTCTAAACGCTATGGCGAGTTACTTGAAGACTCTAACGGCATCGCAACACGACACTTTCACCAGTCCCTTTGAAGTGGTCGATAATAATGTCGGTGAGTCATTTGTACTCTTAATTATTAAAAGTGTCTATTCTAGAATTCTTATAAATTACTTGATATTATTTATCTTTTTGAATTAAAATTGCTTTAATTTTATAATTCATAAAATAAATGTGAAATGTATCATTAAACACATGATCTAATTTGGAATAATAATTAACTATAATATACGTCATATTTTAGTGCTCGGTCTAGACGTCGTGACATCGGAAAGTCTCTTCGGCTACGAAACCGCCGAATACAAGGAAGATCCCACTTTATCAACGGCGAGGCCTTCGGAAGCTGACCGGAAGGTCATCCTTCCCGATACCTCTGCCTTTCTCAGTTCTTCGACACATTTTGGTCCATCCATCAGCTTCCCGAAGTATAACAACTATATGGCTGATCCCAGCAAATTCGATCCACACTCGAAGATTCAAGTATCGCTCAACATCCTGGGCATCAAATCTCTCATGCAGGGTGAACTGAATGTCAAGAACAGTCTGAGCAATCAAAAGGCCGTGCTAAGTTATGTGCAATATAAAGAACTCGGCGCTCTCTTGCCGCAAAGGTGCGTGTAGTTGTTGTCATTAATTTATTGTTATTTAATTTAATTTAATTTATTTATTAATTATTCCATTATTATCACGTATATATCATTATTTAATTATTTAATATATATTATTTAATTTAATTAGTTTTATAAGTTTAAGATAATTTTATACATTTTTATGTAAATCCGTATATACAATTTTTTGTGAAATTTTAAATTTTGAATAAGATTGTGAAAATGGATTATTAATTTCTTTAATATTTCAGATTCGACGATTCGGTAGCAGTTAGATGGGGTGTAGAAGTAGCAGTCGGTTCGCCTGTAATGACCGTCTCGGTATTGGTTCCTTCGGACAACGGTTATGAATCCTTGACAGGAATCCCTTTACAGTCGCCGGTCCAAGTTCGACTTTGGCTCAACGAGAACGACGACTTTAAAACCAGAACGAACCCGCAGTGTGTCCATTGGAGCACAGCGAGAGGGTAAGAAAAGATTAACAAAATTGCATGAAATAATAATTTAATCTTATCTCTTGATAAACATTTCATGTGCATTTAAATTTCAGAGTTGGCGAATGGAGCCGAATGGGATGCACGACGGAAATCGAAGACAATTCTCTGTCATTCGGCACCATCGTGAACTGTTCCTGCTTGCAATTGTCCACATTCGCCATACTGACGGACGTCCTCGATCTGGAATACGTTCCCGAGCCATCCCTGCTGGAGGATGTGACCAGTTACAGCGCGTTTATGCTCGCACTGCCGCTACTATTGTCCGCCCTCCTGATCCTGGCGTTAATTCGCGGCGGGGGCACCAATTCCAACAGTATCCATAAGAACCTGGTGCTGTGCGTCTTCGTAGCGGAAATCCTGTACTTGATCGCGCTCAAAGCCAGAGGTCCCCTAATATCTAACGAGTTCCCGTGCAAACTAACGGCGATAGGACTGCATTACGCTTGGTTGAGTACCTTCGCCTGGACCCTCGTGGATTCCGTTCATCTCTATCGGATGCTGACAGAGATGAGGGATGTGAATCACGGACAGATGAGGTTTTACTACACCATGGGATACGGTCTACCGGCTGTCATCGTTGGACTCACCATCGGCGTCAGGGCTGATCAATACGGAAATTTCTATTTGTAGGTTGAACCTTGATTTTTCATTCTTCAAAAAAATTATTTCAATGTTTTGTATTTGTTAAATACTGCGATTCCATGATATCTATTACTGTAATAATAATCACATTATTTTTATATAATATAAAAATAATATTAAAAAATCAAATTATAAATAAAATAATAGAAAATTGTTGCTTGCTTTTCTGCAGTTGCTGGCTGTCCATCTACGAAACCGTGATCTGGTCACTAATAGGGCCTGTCTGCGCAGCTGTGTTGGTAAACTTCTGCATTCTCGTGATGTGCATTCGCGCAGCTTTTACTCTGAAGGAGCACATTATGGGTTTCGGAAATTTGCGAACGCTTTTATGGCTCTCTGTGGCCTCGTTGCCTTTGTTAGGATCAACGTGGACCCTGGCGGTTCTCAACGCATCCGAGAATTCACCTACTCTATCGTACTTGCTGAGCGTTGCCATAGTAGTTCACGCAGCATTTAGTCTAATCGGCTACTGCTTCGTCAATGGCAGAGTGAGGAGAAATTTGTATCAAAGTTTATTAAGATGTATTGGAAAAAAGACACCTTTGCTAGAAGGAAGCATGGGTAACGGAAGTAGCAGTCAAAATGTGAATGGTCACTCGGTATGTAAATTCACAGCTTGTTTATTCATTACGAAAACTCGTTAAACATCTGGAAATAAAAATGAATTAATGAATTTGTATGATCATGTTTCAGCGTTCGGCGTTGGCTTACTCTTCAACTTACAGCGGAGCCGAATCCGCATGCAGGAGAGTTCACGTCGGCGTGTCGACGAGCAGCACGACCTCGAGAAGTACAAAGACGGGCTCAAGCCCTTATCGTAGCGATACACACTTGAGACATACATCGACATCCACGAGCAATTACAATAGCGATCGAGATCCGTATCTATCGTCCAGGAGTCATCGGTCAGCGCTACACCCTCGACAAGGTAAAGCTCGCGATAAGATATTTATTAGAAAATTTTAAAAATTTTAAATAAAATATATCATTCTATATTACATATTATTTTATTCGCCTCTTCGCAAATCTCGCATGATTTAAATTAATAATTCAGATGAAATAAGATATATTGTATCATATAATTATACATTAATATTTTCAGCGGAACCCACGGAGGTGAGAAGCCAACGCAGAGAATCAGAATCAGACTCCGATGGCTCGCAAGCCGAGGGAGGCGGAAGAAGCCTGGATCTCGCTAGCTCGCACAGCTCCGACGAGGACGATGTCACGTCGAGGTCTCACAGGAACATGGGAGTGTCTACGCAACAGCACGTCACTCACAGCTACCTGCCCAACATTCACACCAATCCCGCCGAACACTTGAATATACTTTGCTCGAATGCCGAGCTGTTCCCCAACATCAAGCCCATCTACGCCCCTAGATGGAGTTCCCAACTTCCGGAGGCATACTTGTCATCAAATGGTGAGATTAATCAATTTGCTTGTATTGAAACAAAAATAGAGAAGATCTAGAAAAGATGTTGGGAAATAATAATAAATAATTCTAGAATAAAAGAATAAAAGATAAATATTATGAAGGAAAATTAACGAACATCATTCTTCGCAGCGATGGACGTGCGTGGCAGCCAATGGTCCGGCGGGACCATGTCGGATAACGAGATGGCCTCGAACAAGACCTCGAGTCCGAACCCGCTGCCGTATCCGGAGATGAGCTCGCCTCCAGAGAAGAGCCAGCCGGACGAAAACTACTCGGAGGGCGAGGAAAAGGTGCACCATCTGGGCGAGAAGTATCTGTTCCCGTACACCGCCGAGGAGGACCACACGGTGTCGCCCACCCCGTACATGCTGTCCATGTCGTCGCGCATCCTGGCGTCCAGCATGAGCCACCATTCGCAGACCTCGAATCACGAGAATCTGAGCGGTTCCGAGCAGCGGTACGGCAGCCTGAAGCGAGGTCAGAGCCTGCACGGCTCTCAACACGACAACCTCAGCGGCTCCGAGAGATACGGCAGTCTGAAACGCGGCAAGATGGGTACCCCGACTGTCCTGCAGGACACGCCCGAGTACATCCTGCCGATGAGCGGGAGGATACTGTCGAGCTCGTTGACCCACGATCTGCAACATAGCAACGAGCTGGCGGCGATCAGGCAGCAACAACAGCACCAGCAGCAATACGAGCAAACTATCACCGAGACCGAGTGAGTATCTTTTGTCTTTCAAGCTTGTTTTTGGGAGATTTCCTGGGTTGGGAACTTTTTTTCTTTTTTAAGTAAATGGTGGAAGGTCTAGATCTAGCTTTTATGTACGATGGATGGATCAAGTGTTCAGAAGTCTCACAGCTTTTTTTAATCAAGTGTAAAGAGTGTTAAAGAATATTTAAGTGTCGATGAATATATCAGAAATTTTCTATTATTTCAACAAATTGAAGTATTTTAAAATGTGACTTAAAATAATCTATGTCTATCGAGATGAAATGACGTGAATTAAGTACATTAGAAGAGTAGAAATGAAACTACACGTTGTCACGTTTGAATAAAAATAGAAACCTTTATATAAACGATTATGTCCGAGAAGTTTCTACTTCACTCACTGAGATACAAAATAATTTACAAAAAGACAGTACAAATACGTTACATCCAACGTATATAGAAAAAGGGTCGGCGGCGATCTCTATATAATACTTAAGTTACAGCGATTTTTTTTTCTCGTTTAACGCTCAACATTTTTCTCGCTCGTTTTTCCTTTCTTAATTCATTCATTCATTCATTCTGATTTCTTTGGTTTCCTCTTGCTGTTTGCACGTGAATAAGGTGGCGTTGGAACGTTCTAACATAACTGTATCTTTTCTCTGTGATCCGTGCTTGCCCTATCGACGACTATCAAACGAAAAAAACTCATCAGCGAGGAGGTAAGATCGATTGTCTCTTCTTAATCGCTAAAAATCCACTCGGTGTCTCTTTCGCGAGAGACCACCATCGCTCGACCGGACCCGAAATAATCGCGATTGTCGCTGATTCGTTTCTTTTTTTTTTCCAGGAAGGATACTAATGCGGAAACGTCCGTTTGACGAGGTCCGTGCCAGAACAAACGAGAACAACGTACAAAGTAACTTAGCTTACGCCTAGCTTAAGTGTCTACAACGCGCAATAAAGACTTCGAAACGATCGTCGATATATATATTTAAACAAGAAAAGAAGCGGCCATGACTTATTACATAATTAGCCATATTAATTAGCGTGTATGTGCGGGTCCGCCGCGGTAAAAATCTATTCTATCCTGAAGAGATATAAATGTCGCACGTCGCGAATATCTTTCAACGAGCTGGCAGTGTGAACGATGACGTCGTTTAAATAATTATTTATTTAATGAATATCATTAAAAATGGTATATTATCGGCAAATTATCGTTTGCATCATCATTGGAAAATATCGATGTGTGACGTTTATTCGTCGATCAGGCCATCAATTGAAGGATTCGGTGCACAAAACGAGGCAAATTGATAATTTATATTTTTTTAATTTTTTATTTTAGCTTACACAATCAATGTGTGTAACTAAAAGTAACTTCTTAAAACTTTTCTCTGTGTAACTTTGTGTTTAGAATTTAAAAAAAAAACACATGCGAATTTACACTCGGCTTATTATTATACCATCGTTGTGTGCAGCGAATGCGTTCAATTAATTGCTCCGATCGATTCATTAAAAAAAACAACAAAATTTGCGCTTGTTGTTTTACTTTGTATTAAGAAGGGCGACCTGGTGATTTTGTGAATCTCCGATTTTTCTCGGCGAACGATCCGATTGCCGTTTATATATATATATAATCGCGGCAATGAACGTTCGGAAAAAGATTCGGAGAACGAAAATGATCTCTAATCATTATCGCGTTTTATATATTCGTTAGTATTCATTCTTTCTCTTTGAGCTCAGTATTTTGTGCAATGTACACATTCCACTGCCTGTCTGTCATCTCTCTCTCTCTTATACATGTATATGTATCATTTTAGATTCCACATTTGCGTTTCCATCTCCCTTCATTTTTTTATATATATATAAAAGTTTACAAATCTTTCTTTTTACTTTACATGCCATGATGAAGAAGAAGAAGAAGAAAAAACGTAGCGAATAAGTCGAAGCGTGTCAATTTTGCAGCGCAGTTTTTTTCATACTTTTGTATATATATATATATATATATATATATATGTCGGATATATATATATATCATATGCTCATACAAGACGAGAAGAGAGAAAACGATCTGTGAGAAAAAAAATACATAATTTATATATCCTTCAGCAACAAGATGAAATTTGCTTTTCGCTCGTCATCCTTTACTTCTTCCTGAATCGCAACCAGAAGCTGGCTGATAATCCACATTCCACACAATTTCCGCAGCGGTTGTTGATTGAAAAATTACCCTTTATTTTTCTCTCATCGAAAATATAAATAACTTACAAAATATATACGTAGTATTCAGTGTGCGTGTTTGTTATCTGTGGATCGATATACTCGGAAGATCTCTAAAGTAAAAGTCGATGTATGTATATTTATATATATATACGTATATCTCGCGGTTCGATCCCCGATGACGTCCAGACGAGTCGAAAGCTACCTCGTGGAAAAGCCTTCTTGCTGGACGTCCTCGGTGTTCAAGAGCGATTATTACGCGCATCTATGATACTCTAGTTATCTCTTTTAAGGTACGATATTATACGCGGGTTTTCAGTTTTCGGGGAGATGATTTGATTTGTCTGACTTTGAAATTCGTTATTGGGTTATTTGCTACGTATCGGGGATTTCAATGATGAAAAGAGGGTGTCTCTTTCCACGTTTTACCCGTTAAACACGACGACGATAACGACGATGATGATATTCTTATTTGCTTACCCTAAGTTACTGTTATCTAAGAAAATCCGCCCGACGGACAAATCGGATACAGAATTCGCGCATGATGGCACATATACATCACTAGGGGCTAAATAATCGCTAGAGACTAGGAGTATATATCGTCGCTACACGGTGCTCTCCGTGTCGGACGCAACGGAAAGTGTCTGCATCTTCGGCACGGAGTAGTTCTCCGAGAGGCCGTGACTCTGCGTCCTGGTGGACCCTCTCTCCAGAGTCGAGGGGGCCGAAGGAGTGTCCTGATGGGCCTTGGGAGGTATAGGTGGAGGACTCATCTGCGAAAAGAACCGATATCAGTCGTCTTGACTTAAATATATACAAGATCGATATTACTTTTTACTCGAATGAAGCTATAAAAAATTTGATCAAATATTTCATTACACAGAAATATATTTCAATTTTAGAGACCTGATCCTAAAATACACTTGTTATTGAATTCTTAATTCAGACTGTACCCAGATAGCACCATGTCCAAAATGCACCCATAAGACATCTTTAAGATAAGCTTAAGTTTGAGTATAGAATGTTTGTAGCTTTCACATAATGCTTTATGTTTAGTTTATACGTGGAATAAATTTTTATTTGACAGAACAACTCTAATAATTGCTCGATAAGTTGGCCTTTTTATCTATCACTAGTTGTATGGTATTTACAATATACGAGCGAAACTTTGTATCAATTCATCTTTAAGATGTTTTCAAGATGTCTTTGGGATATCATATCATAAGATTTCTTAATGATGACTTATGCGTGCATTTTAAACATGGTGCTATCTGGGTAAGACCTATTTTTTCCTCACCTCCTGACTGGGAAGAGAATACGAGCCCTGGAATGTGCCGCTGGCGAAGCTGGTGGAGACGTTGAGCGCGCTTATCACGGACGGCGGGGAGATGTTCATGATGTCGTTGGACCGGGAGCGCGGCTCGAAATCCTCGTAGCCGAGATTGTTCAGGTTCGTGAGGTGCGACTGGAAGTCCAGGAGGCTAGCGGTGGAGATCCCGCTGTCGCGTAGATCGTTGGACTCGGTTCTCGACTCCGTGATCTCGGAGTCGTCGTCGGTGCTCCACTCCGTGTTGGTGCGTTTGTACGCCAAACCGCGTTTCGGCGGCGCCGGCGGCACCACGGCATTTGAGTCTCTCTTGTCCGGCGCTGAAGCAGGAAGCGCTGCGTTGCGCGATATATTTTTGGGAGGAATTTATTCCGACGATCTTTTATCCCAGCAAACACCGATATATAATTGTTACATTGCTATAATAAAACGGAATATAACGTGTACGTTACATGTAACATCCATGTTAGTTGTAATTTCACACTCATAGATGTAACATTTTAATATAACATATATTACATTGTAGTTATATTGTAATTATATACCAAATAGCACATTGATGTATTGATAAGTCAGTGCTATCTAGGGATATAATGATAATATAACTACAATGTAATATATGTAATATTAAAAAGTTACATCTATGAGTGGGAATTACAACTAACATATACGTTACATGTAACATGCTTAAGTATATAACATTTATATACTGTGTTTGCTGGGATATTACATGTGTGAAAAAAGCCCCGGATGACTCTCTTTCCAGGGCTTTCAAAATGAACTTACTGCAACCTCTAGGTGGCAGCGGCGGAGCGGGCTCGGGTCCAGGTTCGCTCCAGGAGCTTCTGAGGCCGCCTTGATCCGCGCTGTCGGTAGGAGTGGGCAAAGAATGCCTCAGCGGCAGTTTCGGACTCAGGGGTTTACTGAGAGACCTCTGATGCGTAGGTCTAGGCGGTGTTGTTCCATAGCCGACGGAGCGCGGGCGAACTTCTCGTTGCGGAATAGGTGGCGGGATGCCGTCCACCTTGGTGTAAAAGCCCTCGTCCTCTGGAAGGCCGTCGCTGTCGGCGTGCGATGTCCTGGAGCCAGGAGTCTCTAGAGTGGCCGGGCGCTGCTTGTCATTGATCGGTAGAGGCGGTAGCGGCGAACTGGAAGAACAAAGATATGATTAGAATCAATTCCACAATGTCGAATGACTGATAATAGCGATGAAACACTTCGCACGATCGAGATAAGAGATTGCCATTAATTACTTGACGATGCTGTCTTGGTGAATGGTCCTCTGCCTGGCCAATGGACCAAGGCCTTGTTTCAGTTGCGTGAACCTCTCGATCAATCTCTTGTGCAGGGGTTGGACGCCAGCCGGCGCGATCTGGCCATGCAACATCAGACCCGACTCGAGGACGCTCATCTGATCCAAGATGAGTCCCTTGAGTCTGTTTACGTGTGGCACCATCTCGGGATTCTGTCGTGCGAACTCTGAAGTGAGGAAGGCCTCCTGATACTTGGTGATGCCGCCCATCACATTGGCGTCGATGATACCCTGCAGCCGCATGCTGAATGGATTAATGTTCCTGTGCGGCTCGGCGGTGTACTGCGCCACCAGTCGTCTGAGTTCCCTCTCCACGCTCTGCATGGTCTCGCAGGCGTACTGCACCGGCGCCAACAGCTCCGATCGCTTCTCGATCACCTCGAACCATCTGAGGATCCCCGGCAACCTCGCCTCCGTCGTCAGCGTCGTCCTCTCGATCCACAGCGACTTGAACTCGTTCTCGCGATCCACCGGACCACGGTGCAGCGGTCGATCGAACGTGAACTTGCGCACGTCATTTACCAGATAAAAGGCGACCACGCGTTCCGGAACCTCGGCATTGCTGCAAGCCAAGCTGCTCTCCTCGGGGATTGGTTTTACGTTGCAAATTTGGATGTCTGAGGCCAAAAAAAGAACGATGATTAACGAGTTATTCATATTTATTAAAGAGAGAATTTGTGTGTGGAATTATTAATAAATCTCACATTGACCCTCAGACGTCAGGATGCTCTCGTCCGGCGGGGAGTTCTTCGTCAGTATCTGAGCGCAAGGAAACTCAGTCTGTAACCGCTGCTGGAACGCTCCTATTCGCTCATACTCCAGACCACGATAGATAAATAACTTGTTCTGGAATATAAAAGGTACGAGTGAGATTAAATGTTGGGTGTCAAGTACTAAAAAATCACTCTGAAACTTACTCTAACAAAGAGCGGGAAGCTGAGGCCGTAAAAGCCGACGCGGAAGTACTCCGGTTCCGGACGCAGCTGCGTCAGGATGTTATCCAGGAACTTAGCCTGCAGCTTCAGCACATGGCTGAGCTTGGCGTAGTCGTACAGCCTGGTCTCGTAGAGGATAGCCAGCTCCTTGCACAGAGGGATGCCCTTCTCCCAGCACTTGCCACGATCGAGATAGTGGATAATCTTGTGATAGAGCAGCTCCTTGCGCTGCCACTCCGGCTGCTGAGGATGTGCGTGGTCCGGAGGAAGAACAGTGGAGCCCCAGCCCAGCTGATCGGCGTACAGCTTCATCGTGAAGCCGGCCTCTGTATAATTCTCAGCCGCCAGATGCAGGTCATGCAGCTTGTAGATGTAGCGCAGGTACATCTCCTTGCGGTTGAACTCATTCTTGTAGAAGTTCTGCAGGAAGAGCAGGAGCAACCCCATGTCACACTCTGAGAGTTTCAATCGTTTCTACGAGCGTTACGAGCTGTTCGACGGCGGTTGGGCGAGAGGAACATGAGAAAATTTCCATCGCAGAGCGCGAACTCGAACTGCTAAGTGTCGCGCGTTGGACTGATCATACAGGCTGTCCCATTTTAACTTTGGCGTATCTTGAGTAATGGAAATTATAACTTTCAAGCCTTCTAACTCAGAAAGTATTTGAAAAAAAATGTTTAATTATAGTGTTTTGGAAAGCTCTCGATTTGAACTACAAGAATATGGAATGAAAAGTAGGGGGTTTCATTTAAAAAAATTAAGTTGACTCTCAAATGATCTTCAAATTTGACCTCTAGGTCAAGATCCTCAACAAATGTCACCCTCGAAATCCTACAATTTCTGTTTGAAACAGTTTTTGTATCTTTTAGACTTAAAATGGGACATCCTGTATATGTGACACGTGCGTCGTCGGTTCGGTTAATCAACGCGCTAAGTCGCGAGAGAAATAATATATAGATATAGACAACTGTGGGGTTTCGCGCGGCATTTCTTAATTGCTACTAATAGCCGAGGAGTATTATTACTAATATACTCTTTATTGGCGCTGCATCTAGAATTTCGAGATCTCTGCTTAACACGTACCAACAAATTTACGGTGCACGACATGCGCTTGTCACGATTCTCGTCACCCTGAATGACGCTTCTGTAATCGAGAAGCCTTTCCAGTAAACGCGTGATGGATGTTATGAAGGCGGTGCCGCTCTCCTTCCAAGCCGGGTCCTCGGACTGCACCCTGTCCAGTAATCTGTATGCAAAACGTTTCATCGTCAGTCATCAGGCTGAAAAATATATATCCATAAAAATCACATTCGTCTGTAAACGTTACACTTACACGGCGCTAAGGTGTTCCCTGAAGCGGCATGAAATTGCAAATGTTATGTAATATTTTTTTCCGGAAAGCATTACGTATATATGAAACACTTAAAAAGAACACTAAAAGTAGATGTAAAAAAAAAAAAAATAATTTGATGGTCCGAATCAATTGCAGATCAACTTACATAGTGTTAAACAACTGTCTGTATTCATCGTCGCCCTTGTTCTCGCTGATAAGAATGTCCAATTTGTCGATCAGCTCGGACTCAACCGATTTGAAACTACCACGAGTTCTCTGCTCGCACTCCATCATGTCGAAAAAAATGTGCAAAGTCGCTTTACGAAGTTCGCTCTCCGGTACTAAAGTGACTTCCAGGAAAGGCCCGACCATGCCCGGGATGAATTCGAGCTTGCGCTCGCCAAGATTAGACCACATGGACAGTATCTGGAAGCCCATGAGAACCCTCATATCGCCGTACTTTTCCACGATCTTCTCTCTTTTGACCTCGGAGAACTGTTCGAGCTGAAGTGACGGCTGGGTGAGATAAGCCACCGCCAGGTTAAAGTACGTGGACCAGAGCTGCGAGTCGAAACTACTCTGAAGAAAGCGGAAGGCGAGCGGCTGCCCGAGCTCCTGCAGCGACCTCAGAATAACATTGTTGGCTTGCATCCGGATGACCAACCAGTCCGGCGGGAATACTTCCTGGCGCACAAGGTCGCGCAGCACCAGGAACGCCCGGAGCAAGAAGTCCTTGAGCTGTTTCCGATCGCCGGTGTGCGTCAGCTCTTCCCAGAGTCGCGCATAGTGATACTCATCGAGCAGCTGGAGCAATCCGATCAGACAGGCCACGAGACAGCCGAGGACTGGTCCGCTGGCGTTAATCACGATCAGTATCGTCTGTATAAGCACGTCGAGCACCGACACGCAGAGCGTCTCACGTCGTGGTGGATGCAATTGTTGACCTTGTTCGTGTCTCTGCCGCGCTTGTGCAGGAAACTGAGTATCTCGCCCAAGATGTCGGTGCAGGACCGTAATTCCTCCCTGCGAGCCAGATGAACGCGCAGATGCCGGCATACAGTATTGAGCAAGAGGTTTCGGCTCTCGTCGTCCTTGCAGAACAAGCTGGACGTCGTGAGATTCTTAATCGCGACCAATTTGGCTTGTGTTAGTTGAAGTGGCGACTCGCGTGGCACCGATTCCAGCATCGTGCAAGTAAGCTTGGCCACTTCTAGAACCGGCAGCACTGCGACCAACTGCTCGAACACCGCCGCGATCGACAGCAGCAGCGCGATCTGCGACAGGAGTACCATCTCGTACGGAAGGCCCAGCATTTTATTGAGAGCCGCGAACACGCAGTACAGATCGCGCTTAAAGCTGTCCTCGTACTGGCCGGCGGTAGCACGAGCAAATAGCAATCTGCTCTGGATGATGAACTTGAAGATGTATTCAAGCGAGCGAAAGCACTTCATGATCGGCTCCTGCTTCTCCGCCATGGTGACCCAATCGGCGCAATGCTGCACGCTACTGAGAAGGCCCTTGTACACCAAAGCTGCGGCGAAGTGATCTGAGATGTAAGCGTCCATCACCGGCTTGAAGTGTTCGAACTTGGAGTCCTCCAACAGACTGAAGATGGACACGAGCACCTGGAACACGAGGCCCGAGTGCGCCGTAGAGTTGCCATCCTCGGTATGGAACATGGCGAATAGTGCATCGAGGATGTCTTGCAAGAACTTGACCAGTTCCTCGCCGTCTAGCCGAAGAACGCGAGCCAGAGCCTCTGCTATTCGTTCGGGATGCGCCTTCCATTGCAACAGGCTGAGTAGATCGACGTTTTGCGTCAGTTTAGTGCTGCAGAGCAGAGTGTGCACGAATACAGTTTCCTTGGGTGATCTAGAGAAGGCTGGTGGACCTAGGAAAGATAACAAGAAAAATCAATGTAAGCATTCACAAATCTTTCTCTCTCTCTTTTCTACAAATGTTTTACATATAAAGCAATTTAGTTTTTTATTTGTCTGATAGCATAATACAATAGATAATGCATGATTAATGATATTCATCTTTACACGAGTTTATTTCACATTTCAGGAATTGCTTGAATTTTACCTGCAGCACTAGGTTCTCGCGCGCTGCTCGGCAATGACAGATAACTCAGCGAATCCAATTTCGCGCGTTCCTCGCATTTGTAAATGTACAACTCGTGCGGACCATCCTGAAGAGTGGCGCCTCCAGGTTCCATCAGCCGGACGAATGCGAAGGCGAAGAGCTTCTTATCGTTCTTCTCGCGCGCTGCACCAAGATAAGTAAATGAAGACAAATGAATTGTGAAACCCGGAGAGATAAATGGTGCGAGGATGATAAGAAAAGTAATCGATATCTATTGAAGACTCACTGGAGCAGTGCCGAAACTCGAAACGCACGTGGCTCCCGTAAAACTTGTCGATGGGTATCGCCAGTCTTACAGTTTCCGCCCACGACGGGCTGTTGTGATGGTATATGACCAAACTCTGATATTCGGAGCTACCGTCCGTGCCTGCGGCTCCGAACAGACACTCCTCCAAGGGTTGACCGTCCGCATCCAGGACCAGGATTGTCACCTAAATTAATCGAAAAAGAATTTTATCGCGATAAGATACCTATTCATTTTTTTAAGAATTTATATGTATATTAACAAATGATGATATTAATATATAAATGAAATATATATTAATAGACGATAAAAAATTTTATATATTAATTTAATAAATTAAATTAATTTAAATTCTAAAATTTGTGGAAATATCTCATCCAAATTTTTGTTGTGCAAAATATAATTCCTCGAAAATGATCTTACCTCGATATTCTTTCCGGTGGATTTTCCACCGCGTTCGAATTCTCCCCGTTCCAGCTTCAAATACAAATCGTTACGCACATCACCCGGCATAATGACGTCCGAGAATCCGAGTTTCTTCGTGAGGCAAATATTTTTGAACAGTAACGGGTTCTCGTCCCGAACCTGAGACAGTTCTCCGTGCAGGATACGAAGGGACACGACTATTCCGTAATTGGGCTGGCCGGGTAGAGGAGAACACTTGTTATTGCGTATGATTTGCTCGTGCAGCTGGTGAAATTCCTTCTCTTCCCCTTGATATACCTGCAGGCAGATGGAAATTTTTAAGTCAAATTTGCCTCGTCTTCACATTTAATTTTCTACAAGTAATTCTTCCGAATTATAAAAGATTAACAATTAAGAATACTTAATAAAATTAGGTATTTTTGTAATTCGACCAATATTAGCTATAAATTCGTTTATTTCTTACAACGTTTCGACCATCAGGTGTCCTTTTCAAGTAAAGCTATAATAATACATTTGTTTAAATATTTAATTGTAAATCATTATTTTATATTTAAACAATTGTATTATTATAGCTTTACTTGAAAAGGACCAAAACCTGATGGTCGAAACGTTATAAGAAATAAACGAATTGATATAGCTAGTTACAAAAACACCTCGGTTTATGAATTTACTAGCGACAATAAAATGATGAAAAATTCCTAATCTTCGTCCGCTCACTTTGAAAGTCAGCTCGTGCTCATCCGCGTGATCCTGCGCGGTCTCCGTGACGGAGAGCATCGCCAGGGAAAGCACCGCCACCCCGTGAGGCCTTCGGTAGATCGCGGTTCCGGTCTTGTTCTTGCCGGAATCGGAGTAGAGCATCCGGCCGCAGCGCATCACGTGCGCGATCATGTAGAGATCGCGGCTCAGATCCGAGTTGCCGAGGTCCGTGAAGATGGTGCAGTTGCTGTGCATCTTCTCCACGTAGTTGGAGAAGCCCTCCTTGCTGATGCGCACCAGGAAGCGCTCGCTCAGGTACTGCTGCCGTTTCGCGTCGAACAGGGAGAAGTAGATCTCGGTGTCCTCGCCGACCGAGTGTCCGAAGTCCCTCATGCAGAAGTACAAGTGGTGGGTGAGGACCTTCTTGTGTTCCTTGCGGCGCAAAGTGCCCCGAGCGGACGCACCCTGAGAGTTCTCGGCGCTTTGCACGTGCTGCGATTCAAGGAAAAAAGGCGAGATTAATAGTGTTCGAATTAGCTGGTTTATTTGCTGGCAAATGATAACTTGCTTCCTTAAACTCGACTTCGACTTGCGAAGTTGACGTCCTGACTCGAGAAGATAAACCGGAAACTTGGGTGTGCAATAGTTTAAGTAGGTATCAGGGAGTAACCGGAGGCTTAATTACTGTATCTATCCGTGTTTAGTTTTGCTACTTAAGTTGTTTCATTATTTTATTTAATATTAACAGCATAATCTTAATATTAAAGTTATTAATAGTAATGTTCATATTAATATTTTTAAGATCATTAATGTTAATATTATTAATGTCTTGATGTTAAAATTATTAATTATTGTTAATATTAATATTAATGCATTGATATTAATAAAATAAAATATATAATAAAAAAATATAATAATATATATAATATATTATAATATTATAATATACACTCCGCAAAATAATTAAGGGATAAAAATTATCTCAAAAATAAGCAAACTTTAAATAGCTGTAACTTTGTTTCAAAAAATAATAATTTAAATTTTAAAAAAGGCTTTTAAAGATTGAAATCTCTATTTTCGAAAGGTTATATAGCTTTTTCATTTTCTTTAATTCTGATATGTTTTACATAGAGAAAACGACGAACATAGCAAAATGAAAATTTTCTTCCCACTTTGTAAACATGTCGTATACACAAAAAAATTTGAAAAAATTTTTTTACATTTTCTCGTTAAAGCCTGAAGTTTTCCCTGTAAAATCATTTTTTTAAATTTAAATTTCGATCTTTCCTTATCGAATTATCGCAAATTGAAGAGAAAATGTCATTTTTACTTTAATCGTTCATAACTCTGTTAAAAATCATCGAACAACAATTTTAAGAGTAGATTCTTAAAACTAAATCTTTACTCTATAACTCTATTGTATGACTTAGAGATTGAATTTTTTTAATTCGTGAACTTGTTACAAATACAGCTAATTAAAATTTGCTTATTTTTCGATCCCTTGATTATTTTGAGAAATGTATAATAATATTTTTAAGATCATTAATGTTAATATCATTAATGTCTTGATGTTAAGAATATTAATTATTATTAATATTAATATTATTGCATTGATATTAATAAAATAAAATATATAATAAAAAAATATAATAATATATATATTATAATATTAAATATACACTCCGCAAAATAATTAAGGGATAAAAATTGTCCAAAAAATAAGCAAACTTTAAATGGCTGTAACTTTGTTTCAAAAAATAATAATTTAAATTTTAAAAAAGGCTTTTAAAGATTGAAATCTCTATTTTCGAAAGGTTATATAGCTTTTTCATTTTCTTTAATTCTGATATGTTTTACATAGAGAAAACGACGAACATAGCAAAATGAAAATTTTCTTCCCACTTTGTAAACATGTCGCATACACAAAAAAATTTGAAAAATTTTTTTTACATTTTCACGTTAAAGCCTGAAGTTTTCCCTGTAAAATCATTTTTTTATATTTAAATTTCGATCTTTCCTTATCGAGTTATCGCAAATTGAAGAGAAAATGTCATTTTTACTTTAATCGTTCATAACTCTGTTAAAAATCATCGAACAACAATTTTAAGAGTAGATTCTTAAAACTAAATCTTTACTCTATAACTCTATTGTATGACTTAGAGATTGAATTTTTTTTAATTCGTGAACTTGTTACAATTACAGCTAATTAAAATTTGCTTATTTTTCGATCCCTTGATTATTTTGAGAAATGTATATTATAATATATATATTATTATACTTACTATATATTTTTTATAATTAATAATATTAATGATATTAATAACATAAAAAATTGTTTTTATTATTTCGACTATTTCGATAATTTTATTAGTTCACATTACAATTTATCTCAAATTTATCGCGCATCTTCATTCTATTGCAACACAAGTGATAAGGGATTTATATTTAATCGAATTTCGCTGAAGTAACTGTATCGCTCCACACGTGGCAAAATTCAACGATGACCTGTGTGGTCAGCATTCTAATGAATTCTCTGCCTCATTCTGTTCGCGCATTCCGCGTATGTTTGGTCCCTCCATTTTTCCATCGTGACTCACTGTCTCAATGTTTGAAAAATATATACTCTTGGTGATCGGTTCGAAAAGAACATATTTATCATTCGCAATTACCACATGGTATAATTCCACGACGGACATCGTATCTGGTTCCACCATGTGAGCACCTTGACGTGGCACCAGGTCCAAGCCAAGCTTTCTGAAATGTAAGAAGAAAAAGAAACTGTGATAGAGGACAAGATAACATATTGCTTTTCGTCGTCAGACGAAACTAATAAAAATATATTTCATTCTTAATTAATATGTCAGGTCCTGCGACTGATAAAGGAAATATAAGGAATAAATATTAAATATTAAGAATAAGAATTATTTTGAAATAATAAAATCGAAGAGACTCTAATGTGAAAGTAAAGTTTTTCGATTTTAAAATAATTCCTAACATTTAATATTTATTCTTCATATTTTTTTATTGCGCACAGGGTCTTATAATAAAAAAATACGTGCATTTTTATTTTTATACTGATTTTATAATCATCATAATTATTATGATTATATAGATTTTAATCTCATTGCAATACTTTTGTAACAAATCTCTCTCCAAGAACAATTTTCTCTTAAATCACGTTGATTAAAAAATATAATTGAAATTTATGATCCGTAAATATAAAATAATAACGCTCTTATTTACAGTCGCGTAAAAATAAATTACAACAGAGGGATATTTTTATATCTACTCTGTGCCATTAACCGACAATCTCTATATAATTAACGCCACTAAAAAATAAAATTATCCAACCTCAATCTTACACAACAAAGTGCCTTATATAATCGCTATAAAAAATTTTCCACGCGAATTATTTCCCTATTAAAGAAAGATACACACTTACATAGACTCGCAAGGGTATATTATCAGATTAGCATACATAATATGCTTAATAAGAAAATTACGACTATTTAAAAAATATTACCATAATGGTTCATTCAATTTTCTAACACATTTTCATCATTGCAGTTGTATATCAGAATTTTTTTAAATTTTTTTTACGTCAACTGAAGTAGCGCGAAATGTCAAGATCCATTTCAGCGTGTCCAGCAGATTCAATGCAAAAATTCTCTGACTTTTTCAGATTTTCCAAGACCAGAAATTAATTTTTTCCCAGGCTTTTATTTTATTATTCTTTCCAAATATATAATTTCCATATATCTATATGATATATCCATATGAAAAAATTTCAAATTATTGAGACAAACATAGAATAATGTGAAAAAATCCAGATAAATAATAAAGTTTCCTGACTTTTCCCTGACACTTTCAGATTTATAAAATTCCCTGACAATTCCAGATTTATACAATTTCCTGACAATTCCAGATTTATAAAAATCCCCGATAATTCCAGATTTATAAAATTCCCTGACAATTCCACATTTACAAAATTCTCTGACAATGCCCGGTTTTCCAGATTTCCCTGACCGTTGGACATCCTGCATCCTCATTCATTTGTAATTATTTCCTCGAAGGAGGAAATACCTAGGGAGGACATCGACGAGAGAGTGTAAAACCGCTATGTGGCGGAAAATGAGTGTCGGATGTCGGGGATGAGAGAAGCAGGATTGTTACACGTATATACCTTGATTGAGGCGTATACGTTGCATCACACACTTTGGGAGAGATTCGCTTTCGAAGTGGGGCCTCGTAGAGAAGCGGCTACTTAACTTCTCATGACCTCCGATGGCTTGGGCCGCATGCCACAGGGCCCTACGTGTTCTCGAACGCATTGAAGGGCCCAGGCGAGTCTCTTTCTCTCTTTCTCGGCTCCTGCATCGGAGAGCGAACTCCGTCGCCTCGCAGGAATGCAGGTACCCGAGTCGCTGTGTGCGTATACATACGTGTTCAGGTGTGCACGTATATGTATACATATATTTATAAAATCTGCAGGAAGTCGCGAGTCGTTTATGGTCGATTTTACATATCGGAAAAGAAACGAGGGATGCAGCAAAAAAAATTAGTACGGAGTTATAATTATAACATATGACGAGAAAGAGGATTAATTGAAAATTGAAAAAATGCAGCTATGTAAAAATTAATGTCACACGAATAAATTACGATGTGCGCTCGCGTTAATTCTGAAATACCATACATTTCCATTTCGTTGCAACGGGAGATGTATATTAATAATTAATTATTTCGATGTTTGCGCGAAGTTGAGTTCGTTATTTATTAATCGTTAAAATCGAACCTGCTGCGAGAGGATGCGAAGAAAAAATACGGCGGTATATATATGAAAGTCCTCCCGTATAAATCTGACCTGACGATTCCTTCAAACTTCTCGGAGAACGTTTAACCAGCCGCAGTAACGTAACTATTAATCCTGAAGACATAAGGCTAACGAGAGGATTATTCCGTGTTAATTAAACTCGCGATCGACTTCTAATTAATTTCGCTCTCTGATTATCTGACAGGTTTTATTTACGTTTAATTAGACCAGCAATATAATGCATAATATACTGCTTAAATTTCCACTCGTAAACAAGTTTTATAAAATTTAGAGCAAATCCACTGATTTTTTTATAAGGATTTAATTTGTATGGTATACAATTAAAAAATAATGTAAAATTAGTGTCTCGAAATTCACATAAAATAGCTTTGACAAGATGTCCAGCAAACTCAATAAAAGAAATTCCTTGACTTTTTCAGATTTTCCAAGATCAGAAATTAATTTTTTCTCTGACTTTTTATTATTATTTTTTCCAAATATTTGCATATATGATAAATCAATTAAATGTTGAATCATGAAATCCTTGAATCCACAGAAAATTAGCGTGCTGGGAGCCAAAGAATAATTTATATTTATGTAATAAAAAATTTCAAATTATTGAGACAAATGTAGAATAATGTGAAAAAATCCAGATAAATAGTAAAACGTCCTGAATTTTTGTCTGAGAATTCCAGATTTATAAAATTCCCCGACAATTCCAGATTTATACAATTTCCTGACAATTCCAGCTTTATAAAATTCCCTGACAATTCCCAGTTTTTCAGATTTCCCTGGCTGCTAGACAGTCTATAAAAGCAAGAAAAGATTGAGCGAGCAAGAATAAAGACCTGAATTATTTATTGAAACTATCAGAAACCCTGGAACTATTTTAAATAAAATCAGCACTCTTAATTATTTATGAGTTTCCACAAAATAAAACGCCAGCTTCACACACACACTTCTAAACGGCCACGAATTTTCGGTCTCACGGACTTGGGGGCGTAAAAAGATTAATTGACAATGAAATTCGTTTTCAGAGAGCGAAAAAGAGAAAGATAGAGAGAGAGAACATCGAACTGCCTTTCACGAGAGCTCGATGTTAGGGCGAGATTAAATTAAGTGGTAGGTTCGAGAGAGACGAGCGGCTTCGTGTGGCTTCGCTCGCTCATTTCATCTCTCTCTCTCTCTCTCTCTCTTTCTCTTCTCATTTTTTTATGGTGCAGACTCTTTCGAACCTGAGAATTTCCCGCCCTCCGTACGACTACGTCACTGATCTCTCGCTGATTCGGCGAGCACCGCGATCCCACATCCGAGGTCCAGAGCCTAAGAATTCTCGCAACCACGTATGCAAATCAACGCTTCCAGAATAATGTTCCGGATCGTAATAAACTTTTCTGGAATTTCTACTCATTTCGAAGGTTTTTATCCGTCAAATAACATCATAATGTGTAAATCGGAAATCTAAAATAACAGGATATTTCTAAATGAGTGCGAAACATTTTAGGAGATTGTGATTCTTTGTCGAAAATTAAAAGGAGTTTTTCATGTAAATATATATTTCTATATCCCTGATTTTTCATGAATTTCTCTCTGAATTAAAAATCTAATTTTTACCTTCCTCTTTGTAGAGTGTAACTTCTCAGAGAGGAATATAGGAGTACGTGTAAAAATGGTTTAGGATCTTCAGATCTTCTTGGAAAATTAATCGAATAATTAAAAAATTAATATTGATAAGAAGAAATTTTTAAAAAATTAAAATAAAATAAAAGCAGATAATTTTAATAAGAAAAAAATAACATGTTGAGAATTTAATTTATCCTGAAAATCATGGTAATCGTGGACAATATGGCATTAAAAGAATCTTATAAGTTTCTCTGATTAATATTTATCACAATAAAAAATATTAATATATATACATATAATAAAATTAATTGAATATTTTATATTTTATTATAATAGATTATTTCTCTTATTATAAGATTATTATTCTAAGAGAAAAATCTCTCTATATACGTTTATAAAAAACCTCCCTTAATTTTAAACAAAGACTCATCTCCCAAAATGGTTTCGCATTTATTTCAAAACCCGTAAAATATACAATATAAATAATATAAGTATAAAAATATGTATATACACAAAAAATATATAATATAATAGGTACATAATAAATAAAAAAAAAATTGCACAAGACACGCAGTGATAAATAACGACGATCGCGAAGACCGAAAGAAATCGAGCAACTGCACATTTCCATCAATCTTGTATTAATCAATCGGCTCCTTCGGAATCGCGGCGCCTTAATTAGGGAAGACCTCAGGGCGCCGCGTGCGACGTCGCCGATCCTGGGGGCCTCCTCCGAAAGGCGCCCCTCCAGGCTCCTCATGATGGAATGCAGGTGAGCAGGCAGACTTCGATGCGTGGAGACAGGTTCAGGCAATGTCCGCCACCACCGCCTGGGACCTATGTCCCATTCCAAAGATATCGGATATACTCCGGCGACGACGAGGGACCAAGAGTCCTCAGGATGACGAATTCGTTCGGACTCTCTCTTGCTCGAAGACGAGGGACAACGGAGACGACCGCTTTCCCGTTGACGATGGAGGAGTTCGACGACTTCCTCGCCCACGCCGAAGACCGTTCGTCTCTTCTCGACGCGAGCGAAAGGGCATCGAACTACCATCTCCCGAGATTATCGATGCTAGCCGAGAGCTGCTGGCTTATCTCAATGAGAGAAAACGGATTAAATCGCGCCTACCAAGTCATCTGTACGCAATTCTTCGGGGGACGAGTACAGGTATACCCCCGAGAGATGAGCTACAAATTTATCTCGCTTTTTTTGCCACTCTCGATCTCCTGGGCGATTTTTTTCATTTGTCATGTAATTAAATATAATATTGAATATTAAATATATTATAATAATTAAGTATAATATTCATAAAATATC